GAAGGAAGGGAAGGCAGAAGCAAGGGAAGGCAGAAGCAAGAGGGAAAAGGAGCGGCAGAAGGGGGGAAAATGAGGAGGAACGTCTTTTGGCATGTGTGTGGTTGCTTGCAGCATGGGCGGGCAGAGTTGACCGTCACAGAGGACGAGGTAGCCGTTCATGCCATCGCTGATAGAGCCACTCCCCCTTGCACAGCAACCCAGGGGGGAGGATATGAGGGGAAAAAGGGGCACGGGCACGGGCACGGGCATGGGCAGGGGCAAGGGCAGCGGCAGGAGCAGGGGCAGCGGGCAGGGGCAGGGGCAGGGGCAGGGGCAGGGGCAGGGGCAGGGGCAGGGGCAGGGGCAGGGGCAGGGGCAGGGGCAGGGGCAGGGGCAGGGGCAGGGGCAGGGGCAGGGGCAGGGGCAGGGGCAGGGGCAGGGGCAGCAGGGCAGAAGTAGGAGAAAGGGAAGGAGAGGTAGCCGTTGATGCCATCGCTGATGCATTCATCCCCCTTGCACAGCAACCCGGGCGGGGGATAGGAGAGGGAAAAGGGGCAGGGGCAAGGGCAGCGGCAGGAGCAGGAGAAGGAGGAAGGGGCGGCAGAAGCAAGGGGGAAGGGGGAGAGGAAAGGAAAGGGGGACAAATGAGGAACGCCTTTGGGATGTGTGTGGCTGCTTGCAGCAGCATGGGCGGGCAAGGCTGGGCTGGCAGTCACACAGGACTAGACGAGGGTACCCGTTCATGCCATGGTTGATGCACTCATTCCCCCTTGCACAGGGTGACTTTTGAGTCGACTCAAAAGTCACCTCTTTTGAGACGTGTGTGGCTGCTTGCAGCAGCGTGGGCGGGCAGGGCAGGGCTGGCAGTCACACAGGAGAAGACAAGGTAGCCGTTCATGCCATCGCTGATGCATTCATTCGCCCTTGCACGGCAACGCACGGAGAGAAAGATGGACGAAAGGGGGACATAGGGAGGCACACCTGAGGGAGGTATACATACCTGAGGGAGGTATACGTGAGGGAGGTATACCTGAGGGAGGTATACCTGAGGGAGGTATACCTGAGGGAGGGGTCGATGGCGTGCTTCTTGTGCGCGCGTGCCTTGGCGTCGAGCTGCCCCCACTTGCCCATCATCTCCCACACCGTCTTGGCTAGCGGATACCCCGATGAGAAGTACATCATCTCGCACAGCTGGCTGTTGCGCCTCCTCTCCTCGGGCTGTGTAATGAGTGGATTGTTCAAGCACAGTACAGTCAAGACAGACACAAGCGGCACGTTGCGAGCACATGAGGACATGCTGAAAGCTGACCAGCGGGTACCCCAATGAGAAGAACGTGAGCTGGCATAGCTGGCTGTTGCGCGGAAAGGGGGTGGATGGGTGAATGGATTTGGCATAATGAGGGGGAGAGGCGCAAGCGCAGCTACAGACCGCAGAGTTGCTTCGAAAGACTTGGAGTTACCGGCTACAAGGCTGAGTTGCATTTTGAGTCGACTCAAAAGTCAGCTGGCTGAGTTGCATTTTGAGTCGACTCAAAAGTCAGCTGGCTGAGTTGCATTTTGAGTCGACTCAAAAGTCAGCTGGCTGAGTTGCATTGGAAGAGGCGAGGGTTTACACAGGAGGTGGGACATGGGGACCGTGCTACGTGAGCCAGGTTAGAAAGAGAAAGAGCGCACACGTAGGGTAGGGGTATGGTACGGTGCCCAAGTGATGAAGTTAAAACGATGGTGCAACGTGACGCAGAGCTGTCCGGTGCAGTAACATGCATTGGCATCAACATGTGCTGCGTGTGGTGAGAGTTTGGAGGACTTACAGTGAGCGTGCGCTCGACTTGCTTGATGGCTTCCAGTAGCCAGTCCTCATCGATGACAGGATTGATTTCAAGCAAACCTACTAAAACACGAGCTCTTGACTACCACCCAGCTGCTACTACCACGTGAAGTCATGGCTCAACCTGGGGCTCAACCTGGGGCTCTATGGACTCACAGTGAGAGTGGGCTCGACTCGCTTGATAGCTTCCAGTAGCCGATCCTCATCGATGAACGGCAGCAGCGCCACTCCCTGAACGGGGTGCATGGTGAGGCATGTGGAGAGATGGGTCGTGAGTGGCGTGGCGAGTGGGCATGGCAAAACATGGGCACGGCAAAACATGGGCATGGCATGCCATGCAGGGCAGGCATGAAACGGGATGTTGGGCCGTGAATGAAAGGGGGCTGGAGGCTGCATGTCTTGCATGACATGCATGCATGGTCCGGTAGTGACTGCCTGCCTGGTTATACATGGTTGGCTTGTGTGCAGCAGCTGAGATGTTTGGGTAGTAGCCAAGGTGCTTATGGGCCTTATATGTTGATATTGTTAAGCGGAGAGGATTTGAATTATGAGATACGAGTGGATGGGAGAATGCTGAAGTGAATTACGCGAGATGAATGTATAGACGACGAGGAGAGAGAGAGAGAGAGTCTCTTTCCGAGAGACTGAAACAGAAAGGCAGGGCATGTGGACGAGAGAGAAACACGTGGTGACAGCAGGTGGGAAAGGTTGGAAAGAGAAGAGAGGGAGTGAGAACGAGAGCGTGACTGGAGAGAAAGGGCAACGAAAACCACTTTTGAGAAGTCTTTTGAGAATTCTCTAAAGTGATTTCATAAAGAGAAGAGTAAGAACGAGAGCGTGACTGGAGTGGAAGGGCAACGGACCTGCCATGCAAAGCGCTTGCCGTTCATATCAACGCTGAAGTCTGTTTATGTGGGGACGAAGGAACGGGGGAAGAGGGAAGTGAGAGAAGCGGAAAGGGAAAGAGGGGGACGAAGGAGAGAGGAGGAGGGTGAAGCGTGGCGGGACATGGAAAGGGACGGGGACGAGGGGGAAGGTTAAGAGGAAGGAATGGGCATGATTGGGCGCAAAAGAAAAAGTGGCCAGGGTTGTGTTTGACAGGTCTATGCGTGCAGCAGACGTGGCAAGCAGAAAGGGCAAACAAGTGGCATGGCATGCAAGCGAGCGGTGATGTCCCATACCCACTCATGGATGGCATGGCACGACAGGGCATGGCATTACATGGCATGGCATGGCACAGCAGGGCATGGCGTGGCATGGCGTGGCATAGCAGGGTATGGTGTGGCATGGCGTGGCATAGCAGGGCATGGCGTGGCATGGCAGGATGCGCATGTGAGTGACGCCCACCAGTGGGGTAGAAGTCAACAATGGGCGAGGCAGGGTCCGACATGAGCTTGCGGTATGCTGCTGGCAGGGCGCCGGAACTGCCGTGGGGGAAGAGAGGGTGGCGGCGAGGAGAGAGGAAAGGAGGGAAAGGGGGGAGGGACAAGGGGAGGGACAAGGGGAGGGACAAGGGGAGGGACAAGGGGAGGGACAAGGGGAGGGACAAGGGGAGGGACAAGGGGAGGGACAAGGGGAGGGACAAGGGGACGGACAAGGGGACGGACAAGGGGACGGACAAGGGGACGGACAAGGGGACGGACAAGGGGAGGGACAAGGGGAGGGACAAGGGGAGGGACAAGGGGAGGGACAAGGGGAGGGACAAGGGGAGGACAAGGGGAGGGACAAGGGGAGGGACAAGGGGAGGGACAAGGGGAGGGACAAGGGGAGGGACAAGGGGAGGGACAAGGGGAGGGACAAGGGGAGGACAAGGGGACGGACAAGGGGAGGGACAAGGGGACGGACAAGGGGAGGGACAAGGGGAGGGACAAGGGGAGGGACAAGGGGAGGGACAAGGGGACGGACAAGGGGACGGACAAGGGGACGGACAAGGGGACGGACAAGGGGACGGACAAGGGGACGGACAAGGGGAGGGACAAGGGGAGGGACAAGGGGAGGGACAAGGGGAGGGACAAGGGGAGGGACAAGGGGAGGGACTAGGGGACGGACAAGGGGAGGGACAAGGGGAGGGACAAGGGGAGGGACAAGGGGAGGGACAAGGGGAGGGACAAGGGGACGGACAAGGGGACGGACAAGGGGACGGACAAGGGGACGGACAAGGGGAGGGACAAGGGGAGGGACAAGGGGAGGGACAAGGGGAGGGACAAGGGGAGGGACAAGGGGAGGGACAAGGGGAGGGACAAGGGGAGGGACAAGGGGAGGGACAAGGGGAGGGACAAGGGGAGGGACAAGGGGAGGGACAAGGGGAGGGACAAGGGGACGGACAAGGGGAGGGACAAGGGGAGGGACAAGGGGAGGGACAAGGGGAGGGACAAGGGGAGGGACAAGGGGAGGGACAAGGGGAGGGACAAGGGGAGGGACAAGGGGACGGACAAGGGGAGGGACTAGGGGACGGACAAGGGGAGGGACAAGGGGAGGGACAAGGGGAGGGACAAGGGGAGGGACAAGGGGACGGACAAGGGGACGGACAAGGGGAGGGACAAGGGGACGGACAAGGGGACGGACAAGGGGAGGGACAAGGGGAGGGACAAGGGGACGGACAAGGGGACGGACAAGGGGACGGACAAGGGGACGGACAAGGGGACGGACAAGGGAAGGGACAAGGGGAGGGACAAGGGGAGGGACAAGGGGAGGGACAAGGGGAGGGACAAGGGGAGGGACAAGGGGAGGGACAAGGGGAGGGACAAGGGGAGGGACAAGGGGAGGGACAAGGGGACGGACAAGGGGAGGGACAAGGGGACGGACAAGGGGAGGGACAAGGGGAGGGACAAGGGGAGGGACAAGGGGAGGGACAAGGGGAGGGACAAGGGGAGGGACAAGGGGAGGGACAAGGGGAGGGACAAGGGGAGGGACAAGGGGAGGGACAAGGGGAGGGACAAGGGGAGGGACAAGGGGAGGGACAAGGGGAGGGACAAGGGGAGGGACAAGGGGAGGGACAAGGGGAGGGACAAGGGGAGGGACAAGGGGAGGGACAAGGGGAGGGACAAGGGGAGGGACAAGGGGAGGGACAAGGGGAGGGACAAGGGGAGGGACAAGGGGAGGGACAAGGGGAGGGACAAGGGGAGGGACAAGGGGAGGGACAAGGGGAGGGACAAGGGGAGGGACAAGGGGACGGACAAGGGGACGGACAAGGGGACGGACAAGGGGACGGACAAGGGGACGGACAAGGGGACGGACAAGGGGAGGGACAAGGGGAGGGACAAGGGGAGGGACAAGGGGACGGACAAGGGGACGGACAAGGGGAGGGACAAGGGGAGGGACAAGGGGAGGGACAAGGGGAGGGACAAGGGGAGGGACAAGGGGACGGACAAGGGGACGGACAAGGGGACGGACAAGGGGAGGGACAAGGGGAGGGACAAGGGGAGGGACAAGGGGAGGGACAAGGGGAGGGACAAGGGGATGGACAAGGGGACGGACAAGGGGACGGACAAGGGGACGGACAAGGGAAGGGACAAGGGGAGGGACAAGGGGAGGGACAAGGGGAGGGACAAGGGGAGGGACAAGGGGTTCGTGTTTAGAGTTGCAAGGTAAAGGGCTTGATTCTGAAGGGGCAGCCGAGGAAGAAGTGAATCTCCAACTTGTCGAGGCACAAACGTGGCCACACAGCACACCGCACCGCACTCCACTGGACTCTACCGCACATCACTGAACTCTACCTCGCACCACACTATACTGTACCTGGCAGCAGGCAGCACGCCCATGAGCTGGTCGAAGGGCTTGAAGGGGCGGCCGAGGAAGAAGTGGATCTCCAGCTCATCTAGGTGTACCAGGTCCGATGCGAACGGCGCGTAGTGGTACGGGTAGTACCTGGAGGAGGGGGCATGTACATGGACGGAGGGGTGGGGTGGTGAGAAGGTTAGGGGCCGCTGGGAAAGAAGTGGATCTCCAGCTCATCCAGATGCACCAGGTCCGATGCGAACAGCGCGTAGTGGTACGGGTAGTATCTGGGGGAGGGGGAAGGAAGGGGCATGTACGGATGTATATGGATGGAGGGGTGGTGTGAAGGTTGTGGCGGAATGAGTGGTAGGCCCGCCCTGGAAGGAGTCCCCCACTCGTCCCGGCGCACCAGATCCGATGCAATTGGTGCGCAGTGGTATGGGTGGGTAGTACCTGGGGGAGGGGATATGTGAGAAGAGCGGGAGGAGGAAGGGGAGGCGGGGGAGGAGATGAGAGGGGGAGTGGAGGGGTGGGAACGAACGGAGAGTCAACTCTTTAAACGAACACATAGATTGAAGAAATGCAGAGATGCAAACGGTGGAGAGCGGTACAGTTAGTACACCCAGGTAATACGGCTTGCTCTCACCAGTTCCACGAGCACACGCCCTGGTAGTAATACCGCATGACCCAGCATAGACCCTCCACGAATTTTAGGACCTGGGGGGGGGGGGGGGGGGTTTGGGGGATGGGCAGAGGCCGTTGGGTGTGTGTGTGTGAGAACGAAGGGGCTACTAGTGCGAGGTTGAGCAAAGAAAAGTGGATTTCAAGCGGGTGTGAGAGAGGGGATTTTGAGAGTGCAGGTGAGAAAGATGGTAGCGAGCCTTGGTGGCAGTCATGCATGAGGCAACACAGACCCTCCACACACTTGAGCAGATGAAGGAGAAGGTACGGTGGGTGAGTTTACTTTTGAGGCGCCTCAAAAGAAGGTACGGTGGGTGAGTGAGAGACGGGGGTGGGAGTGAGAGAGGTAGATGGGTTGTGCAGTGGTGAAAAGGTAAAAAAGAAAAGAAAAGATGAGGAAAGGAAACAGAAAAGGGAGGTGGGGGGAGAAGGTTGCAACAACAGGATCGTCAATAGGTAGGGGGAGAGAAGGTGGGGTGGGTAGTGAGGTGGCGTGCAGTGCCGTGGAGTGCGGTGAGGTGGAGTGCAGCGGGGTGGGAGGTTACTAACCACGTCCTGACGAACTCTCTCCTGCTCCTCATATGACGTCACGCCAAACTTCTGCTGGTAATACCGCTCCTTCCACCCCTCGTCACCCAGCCGGATCTGCCCACACGAGATGTGATTGGGTGTTGCACACATGACATGACAAGACAAGACAAGAGAGGTTGAGATGAGAGGGACCACTGACTGACCACTTCTGCTGGTAATAGTAATACCACTCTTTCCACCCCTCGTCACTCAGCCAGACCTGCCCACATGCACGCGGGGAGGCGGGGAGATGGTGAGTGAGACGACAAGGCACTGAGATGGCGGGACAGGAGGAAGGTACTAGAGACTACCACCTGCTGTGCTGCTGGTGACACCGCTCCTCCTTCCTTCCACCCCTTGTCTCGTCATCCAACTCCTTGCCCTCGGCAAAGACGTATCATTTTCCCATGAGCACGGACTACACCACACCGCACTGCAACCCACCGCTCTCACAACCTTCTCCTCTCAGCCAGATCACCTTCACGATTTCTCATATCGTCCTCCGGCCGGCTCCTTGCCTCCTGCAACACAAACGGTCCCACTTGCCCTTGGGCGTCAACTTGACCTCACGCCCATTCCTCCCCTCCCTTCCCCTCCCCTCTCGCCCACCACAGCACTCCCTCTCCTCCATACCTTGTCAGCGCTCTCCCATCTCTCACCTCGTCGACCCCCATCTCCTTGCCTCGTGCAGCGCAAGCAAGCAAGCAAGCAGGTCCCACTTGCCC